GGCTACCGTAATACTGTCTGACTGACATATCAATTGGCAATTTCTTCAACTTCTGATCATAGTTATCTGTGTTTCAACTGCAATACGACTAATTAAGTTGAGTTTTGCTCAAATCATAATATCAGCCTGGAGTTGCATTGAAGCACACTAAAGAAGGAACCGAGAGCTCAGCTTTCTGGTTTGCTCTTGGTGGTAAACAAAGCTATACCAACAAGAAAATGCCTCCAGAAGTCGTCCGTGATCCCCACTTGTTCACATATTCTATCAATAAAGGTGCAATCTTTAATATGCCTGCCATTTATTTATTCTTTTAGTTTTCTCAAGAAATGCATCATCAGTCTAACACTTTTAGCCCATGTTTTGCTTCCACGCGGATCCTCAGGAAAACTTGAGGTATTTTCTAGAACTTCGCTCGTTGTGAATTCTTTTCGTATATTAATAATTCTGTTACACTAGTTCTCACACACACGATCCCCTTCTTCCTTGAATTAGGTTGAAGAAGTGTACAACTTCACCCAAGATGATCTGTTGACAGAGGATGTATTGATACTCGACACTCATGCTGAAGTGTTTGTTTGGGTCGGTCAGTCAACAGATGCAAATGAAAAACAGAATGCTTTTGAAATTGGGCAGGTACTAGACTAGTCCTCGCCGGCATTCATATATTATGCTAAGTGCTCATTTGGTTTTGAGTTTTTAAAAAATGATGGATATAATTGCAGAAATACGCTGAGATGGCTGCATCTTTGGAAGGGTTATCACTTCATGTTCCACTGTATAAAGTCACAGAAGGAAATGAGCCTTGCTTCTTCACTACATTCTTTTCTTGGGACCCTGCAAAAGCTACTGTATGTTCGAAACTCTCTTAGTTTTTAGTTTTATCGTATTCAGAAGGAATTGTATGCTAGTGTTTCCAAACATTTATGTGCCAGTCTTATCAAATATCTTACTTACGGTGGCATATTCAGTTTTCTTAAATAATAATGTTCCGTAACTTATTCTCAATGTATTGTAACCAGGCACATGGAAACTCATTCCAAAAGAAGGTCATGCTACTCTTCGGTGCTGGTCATGCTGCAGCGGTAATTGCTATATTTGATATGTGCTTACTCTATATTCTTTGTAAATATAACCATTTTAAGTATCGAATAAGAGATGTTATAAGGGACAAAAGAACTTTCACCGCTCCATCTTTGAAACTCCGTATTCTTTTTTAGAATCAGGCAAGATCGAATGGGACAAATCAGGGGGGAGGGCGAACTCAAAGAGCATCAGCCCTGGCTGCTTTGAATTCTGCATTTAGTTCGTCTTCTTCAACAAAAGCTACTTCAGTTTCAAGGCCAGTAGGGGTAAGTCAGGGGTCTCAAAGAGCGGCTGCTGTAGCTGCTTTATCCTCTGTCCTTACTGCTGAAAAGAAGCAGCCAACTGAGACCTCTCCGGCCCGATTTAAAAGTCCACCACCAGAAGCAACTCCCACTGGTATCAATCTCCTTAGTTTTTACCATTCCCATTTTTCTGATGCTCTCGTTTGATTTATGGTTGCTCAATCATTACATTATCTCTGTATGACATGGTTGTGCGATGATTGCAGCTGCAATTGAGAACGAGAAAGCTTCTGATGCAGTTGAAAATTCCAAAGAATCTTCTGAAGTCAAGGAAACGGAGGTAGCTGAATCTGTAGTAGAAACCAACTGGGCAGAATCGGAGCCAAAGCCAGAGCAAGAACAGGATGACAGCAGTGAATGCAGTCAGACTATATTTAGTTATGAACGGCTAAAGGCTAAATCTGACAACCCTGTCACCGGGATTGATTTTAAGCGGAGAGAGGTTTGTATTTGCAGCTTAATATTGTTATTGCTTCCATATTCTTCCCAGCTATCTGTCTTCTTTATTTCTGACTATCGCGATTACTTTTCAGGCTTACCTCTCAGATGAGGAATTCACGACTGTTTTCGGGACAACAAAAGAGGCATTCTATAAGTTGCCCAAATGGAAACAAGACATGCTCAAAAGGAAAGTCGATCTCTTTTAAATACCTAAAGTCCAATCCACGTGGTCTCTCATGGTGTCTTTGCAGCTCGTCATTTGGTTTTGACAATGTTTCTTGCCCGAGCAGCCTACTTTTCGCATAGGTACTTAATGCCTGGACTCGGTCGATTGGTATATGCTTTTGGATGACCATAACTCTTGGTAGTTTTGGATTTTGATCCTGTGATGTCTGCTTGAAGAGAACTTATTTTTTATCGCTCTTTTTATTGCTGCTGTGCTTGCCATAGTCTGAAGCTTGTAGTTATGAGGACAACCTGGTTATAATTCTTTGATTTGCTTAGCATGTCTGTCTGTGATTGGTCGAAGTCGATTATTTTTTCTTTTTTTCTTTCTTAAAGATCATTATTTGTTGATCAAAAGGGTGTATATGTATTTTCCTTTCACTTGGTATCATGAAATATATAGAAATTGGTGTTTTGGTGATAAGCAGCCACATTAGTATTCTATTTTTATGAAGATAGTGGTTTGAGGTTTGAACTATATTACAACTGTCTTTGTACTATTGGTGTGTGATACATTTTGTGGTGCATTTCTGTAATATTGTGTGGTGCATTTATGCATATTTGATAGTGAATTCTTACCGGTGGCACATTTCTGTAGTACTGTGTGGTGTATTTATGCATACCCAGTGTTGCAAAAATCGCGTCTAGGCGCTAGGCGGACGGTCTCCTAGGCGCCCTAGGCGGTCCCCAGGAGCCTAGAGACCGCCTAGCAATTTTTTTAACATTGTGCATACCTGATAGTGAATCTTTACCGGTGGCACATTTTTGTAGTATTGTGTGATACATTTATGCATACTTGATAGTGAATCTTTACTGGTGGCACGAGAAACACTGTCCATGAACATATATATATATATATATATATATATATATATATATATATATATATATATATATATAAAATTCATACTCAATTTAAGCCAATTGAATTGAGTTTGAAGTGCACGCTTATTAAAAATATATAAAATAAAATAAAAAGTTGTGTAGGGGCTTGCTCGTGCATGTTGTAACTCTTCATTGGCTCCAACTTCTCGTACGTATTAAAAGCCAGACTTTAATATATAATCCTTTTTTTTCCACTTCAATTACGTGACGCATTTATTTGTGGTCCAAATTTTGTCTTCGGCCGTACAAAATAATTTGTAGCATAATAATTTGGTTGTCTAATGATCACAGAAACCTAGCAATTATATTATATTATTAAACAATCATCTAACGATTGTCGTTTGTTTCTCTGTTTATGTTTGACGTGTCTGTTATTCGCCGAAGCAATTGTCTTAACTGCTGTTTGTTTTCTTAATAATGAAACCAAAGACTTTTCAGCGTTTGCAAACCAAAGAAAATATTCATTTTGCTAACACAGAAAATACATTTAATTTGATTATATAATAGAAAGTTTTTTTAAAAATTTATCCAATACGCAAATAGAGTGGGGGCATTCTAAGCCTAATATTTGGCAAACATAGAAGATTTATCCCATTACAAGGAAGCCTGCCTAATTGTAAGGATCAATGACTAGAATATGCGGTCAACAAGTCCAAATTATCAATATGTGTCGTATTTTTTTTTTTTTTTTTGACAACAATATGTAAAACTCCTTTGGGAGTTGCGTTTTTGGTGTATTTTTTTTTTTCGTGTATTTCTGTAAAACGCAAGAGGTAGTTGCGTTTACGTATTCGTATACGTAAAATGCATTACGCTCTTGTGTTTTCCAACGCATACGGTATCCCCCAAAACGCTACTTACTTTTGCGTTTTACGTATTATACGTAAAACGCAAAACTAAGTTGCGTTTTTGACGCATTCAAAAAAAAAAGTTGCGTTTTTGACTTTTTTTTGTACCGGCCGTCTCCGGCGAATTTGAAGGACGGCGAGAACCACAAAACGCAAGTCGCATTAATTGTGCAAGGACTTTTTTCGCAATCACCACGCTGAACCAACTGTGCAACACCACATTCTATTAATATTTGTCTTTTTAAGTATACTTAAATAGCCGATGAACAGTACACAAAACGAACTACCGGTGCCGGAACCGCCTATAAAACGCAAGTGATTTTAGCGTTTTAACGTTTTATTCAAATAACGCAATTCGGTCTTGCGTTTTTGTAAATTTCTCCGGCGAAATACGCCGATAAACACAACGCATTTTGGTCTTGCGTTTTATGTATTTTCAAGTATAATACGTAAAACGCATCTCCCAATTGCGTTTTAACGTATTCAATACGTAAGATGAAAACGCATCTGGGAGATCCGTTTTTCGTATACAATACGAAAAACGCAACTACCAGTTGCGTTTTAAGTATTTAACGAAAAAAAAAATGCGAATTAAATACCTTCAAAAACGCAACTGGTAATAGAGTTTTGCATTTTTTGTCAAAAAAAAAGTCAGCACACATTTTTGCAATTTTTCACCCCATTCTACACATTTTAGTCATTGATCCTAATTGTAATGTCAACTCTTAGTAAAGTTACTTTTATGAGTGGGAAAGTATCTTAGTTATATCTATGAAACTTTTCTTTAAGTTTTAAATAATTTTGTTTAGTAAATGATATAATTTTCAGTAAATTTAATAGTTTTAACGATTTGATTAAGCTGAAACTTTACTAAGTTGAAACGTTTAAGAGTTTGATTGAAAGTTATAATAAATTACATCATTATTCCTTTAATAAGTCAATGCCATATTTAGTTATGCATTAATGTGATAATTTGACTAGGTTGGACCGAAATGACTCAATACACAAAAACATACTACTTTGTATTAGATTAGACTTAATAAAACATGAATAATAAGTAATAACTCTATCATAACATATAATAAAATACAATAAAAATTTCATAGAACAAAATAACAAATGCTATATATCTACAATATAAGGTTTTTTTTTTTAAATAAAAAAATAAACTAGTTTAAACTACATTTTTACCCTTTTATACTAGTGTAATAATCTTCTAACAATCAGGGTAAACTTGGGAATCTAAAGATAATGAACACAAATGTTTCAAAATCACAACACTTCCATCCCCATTACTATTCCCTGGCCTAGCAAGTGCAAGTTTTGACACTATGGGCAAGAAGGTGGCACCTGGTTTCGAGTTCAACCCAGTGAGTGAACTCAGCCGTGGTATTGACTCGCTCGACACCATTAAATTCACATTCCTCAATGCGAACTCACTTCTAACGAGTTGATTGATGACTCCTGACTCGGTCACCGGGTTCTTCCTCTTCCGTTGCATTGCTGCCTGGACGATCTCCGTCAGCATTGCGTTTGATAATCTCCGGACCCCTCGAGTCCCGCCAGCGACAATGCCCGGGTGAACTGAGTTTTGGCCCGAGTTCTTGACGTGTTTTGACTGAGTATGTGTTGTTAAGTACACTGACTCGGGGGTCCGGTTCTTGACTCGCCCGAGTGGGTCTCCGAGTAGGAGAATTTCCTTCACGTCCACTAGTGTCACGTGCCTGAAATTCCTCCTGACTCGTCCGAGTAGCATAGGGTAACAAGCCCATCTCCTCAAACTCATCGGCACGTGATCTAGAAACCCGGCCAATGAATCCTCCGGGTCAAGCTCGTCCGCGTCGAAACCCACCACCGAGCCGTAACTCATCCGAGTCGACTCAGTCGAATTACCTTCAATTATATTATTATTATTATTTCTCTTAATTTTGCGTCCCCAGATTGGCTCCCCACTTTCCTTCTTCTTCTTCTCGGAAATCTTGAACTGGGCCACGCCGAGAATAGCCTCGGAGCTCCGATCACGCCGGCCGAGGATGAGTTTCAAGAACGAGTCATTCTCCTCGGCGACGACCCGGTCGAAAGCCGGCGACTTTGATCGGAAAATGAGCAAAATATCCGATTTGGACGAGAGCCCGGAGGTGAAAAAGAGGCGTAGAAAGAGCTTAAGCTCGAGCGGAGTGAGATTCTCGACGGCGTGAGCGATAATGAGGTCGTTCATGGCTCTGGTGCCTCTGCTGTAAAGCGAGCCCATTCCTTGCAATGCATGGGGGAAGGAAAGGTTAACGGCATTGTGGGAGGAGGGCGGCGGAGAGGGAGGAGAAGAGAGATGTCTTCTGGGAGGGAGGTGGCGGGGGGAGTTGACGACGGCGGGGTCGAAGCAGAGAGTGAAGAGGAGGAGCGTGAGGAAGATGAGGAGAGCGCAGACGGAAACGGTGGATTTGACGGTGGAGAGGAGCGAAGAGCCGCCGGAGGAAACGGAGTAGCGGCGGAGGCAACGGAACGAAGGCGGAGAAGGGAAGAGAAGATTCATGGCCGCCATGGGGCGGCTGGTTTTCTTTCTGTCATGAATGTCGTCGGCGCCGGAGGTTCCATTTTCGGGGAAAAAGAGGAACAGGAAACCCATTCCTCCAGTGTTGTCGTCGCCGCTTCTGTTAGTGTTGCTACTGCCGACGTTGTTATTGCTGTAAATCCCATCCATGAATCGCTGCTCTCTCTCATCCAAAATGGTTCTTTCTTCCCCTTTCACTTTCCCTGCTAGTAGCTTTCCATCCTCCTGGACCTCTCTGGTTCTATATGTATATATGTTCTGCGTTTACACTTTAAACCTCCATTTCTCTATTAATATACTGCAATAATAATAAATTGTTTTTACTTCCATAACCTACGAAAACATTAACCCATAATCAATAAATTAATCGCACTTATTTACTAGACTAGAGTTATATAGCAGGGATGAGGTTGAATCCCAACCCCAAGGGACCCGCCCGGCCAGACAGATCAGCGTTTGTGAGTATGTTATTATTGCTGATAAGATTCGATCCCGAGTCATTATTTTTACATTTTACTTTGTGATTAACTGAACTGTTCGTACAGGCATGACGTTGAAAGTTGAAATTTATTAAATGCCATTAGATTGATCCAGATTCTATTGAATTAGTCTATTTGATAAGATAGATGTAGATATTAGTGCAGTATATTAAAAAGATGGTTCAATGAAAATGGTGCAATTAGAGTGGTTAAGTTCTTTTAATCTCACGGTTCGTTGTCACTCTAATTGATGCTTGAAGGAGACTTATTCACAAATTAAACATGGTACATTATTTGCAAGATTTTATATTAATGTTGGAAGATAGGTTCTTTGATTTACAAAAAAAATCGTTATCTGAATGTACGTTCTAGGTGAAGTTTACTTTTGTTACTTTAACAAATAAAGAATTACAAAAAGTTCTCAAAATCAATAATGTCAATAGACATTTTCATAAGAAGTAAAACTTAGAACTTTAATTGTGTCTGATTCTCAACGTACCATGTACTTGAATCATTTAAATAAACAAATTTTTTTTTTATCAATTGTACGTTAACAATTAAAACGACCCAAAGAATTGAATAACTAAAATGGAAAATGTTACATGTACTTCCATTCTGTACTTCTAACTTGTATTCCCACACACAACAACATTGATATAGATACTTATATTGGGACCCACATAAAAAAAAATAACTTATCAGAATTTGCCACATTTAGGATAAAATTTAAAAAATAAGATTAGAGAGTACATATAGTATAACTCAACTAAAATTGTATTTCTCCACTTTAATGTGATGATTAAGGTTGAGAGAATTGAAGATGGTTGCTGGATTTCAATTGTGGGGTTGCTAATTAAGTTGTAGTTTTGTGGTGGATACATACATACTCTCAACACTTGCGTCGGTGGCTTGGGTTGATGGGCCACAGGTTTCAATGTTACAATTCATTTCGAAAAAGTTTAATTTTCTCATCAATATTTGTTTTTATTTGTCTAAAAAAAACGATTAAATTTATCGTTTGTATTTATCTATAGGTAACAAATTGACGGTTTAAACGAATGAGAACGAAGCTAAGTACAAATGGTGGGTACTTTCTAAACAAAGAAACAATTGTATTACAAGTTGGGGTAGAAAGGTCACGAAGCCAATTCAATTAAATTGAAATGGACAGAAACAATTGTATTACTAATTTCTTTGATTTGAATTGGTTAAAGTATGAACAATCTAGATTGATATTCTCTGTCAATACGTCTATTTACTCTTAATTAGCCCGTCAGTCCGCACAGTCCTTAACCACAATAATCTCCGCATCAAATTGCATGATTTCTCTAATAACTCAAAAAATAATAATAATTATGTCGATCTTCAAATTACGACCTTAATTAATAGAATAATTTAACCCTTATTACTAGCTCTCTTTGCAATGTTATATATAACAAAGACAAAATGACTAAATGAGTATATATGTGATCACATGGAAAAGGTTGTAGGTTTGTACGTAATATAGTGTAGTACCAATTGTGTCCTTGTACGTGGGGGCCCTACAGCAATTAAAGAGTTGGACTCTCTTGTCATTTATGGCCCAAAATTATATGACACGGCTGGTGGAGGGTATCCTTAATTCTTCTCATGGCATCATAGAAGTTTCCAAGAAACATATATGAGAAATTTGTTAAAAAATGTTGGGCTACCCATGTGTTCCTCTGTACGTATTGTACCGCTATGATTCAAACCCAATATATAAATAAAAACGGAGCTATCAAATTCACCCCCCCCCCCCCTCCAAAAAAAAAACAAAAAAAAAAAAATAAATAACTCAGTGGTCAAAAGGTTGAGTGTGGATATAATGATTCAGTAAATATTCAGGTTCGAATCCTCAATGGGGAAAGATCCTAGTTTTAGGACAAAAAACATACACTCAAATCTTTACGTTACTGAAGTACATCCACAATTTACCTTCTCTCATAATTTTCGAGTGTCGGGTTTAAACCTATTAGGTGACAGTCAGGCATTCAAAACTGAAAGTACTGCAGCAATAACACACTGATTGGGTTAGGTGTCGGTAGGCCTAATTTACTGCATATTGCAGAAATTGAAGCACTGAATTCTGAAGATAATTAAACTACAAAGGCCATCCAGCTGCAAGTTGACTGATTAAATTCCACTGTTTCACCATGTTCATGTCTTCAAAAGATGGTAAAAAAGGAGCAGAGAAATCACAAGACATTATTGCAGTAATTCCTTGACAGGTGTGGGATCGGAGTTTTTGATGTAACAGTAACTTTCTGATTCCCATTTCCCAGGTGAATAACTACACTGAATCCATGCATCTCATGTCAGTGCTAGCTAGTTGTAGTGAGTAGATTTTAGTATTTAATCCGGCCTATATATATGTACAACCAAGAATGGAGCATGTGTGTCTCTTTATGAGTTTGGTTCTTACCTATATTTTCTCGGTCGAATTATGTAACATAAATTTTTTTAGTACAGTTTATCTTTTTAGTATGATTTGTGGCTATTATATAAGAGCATGAGGCTTAAAAATCATTAGATCAAAGTGATTTGAATGACTAAATTAATTTATTAGGTTAATCTTGTAACCCTCATTCCTAAATCCGTTGTTTTTATTACTGTGAAATTTATTCGGATTTAATACAAAACGTATTTACAAAGTTTGATTTTTATTCTAAAAGGAAAATAAAAATCACAGTTCTCTTACCAACTGCCCAAAACTGTAGGGTCAATTCTCGCATTCTTTATATATATGTATAATCAATTCACTTCTCATGATTTCAACCATAAGAATATTTCTAAGTTTCCACTACCCTTGCAAAATTTCCCAAGAAATGTTGTTGGGTTACGTTATTCCTATTTGGAAAATAAGCCCTTTTTTTTTCTTCGAAAATGAGCCTTTTTAAAATTTCCTATTTGGAACAACCCATTTTATGAGTCTATTAAAGCCCAAATGGATAAGAGCATAGAGGTCATAATGCCTGATTCAATTCAATTCAATATAGGGATTGAGTCGAGTCTGTGTTTTTGGGAAAATTTTACTGTATATCACGATCTATGTAGCGTGACGGATCATGAATTAGCATTATAATTACATTTCAATTTTATTTGATAATATTGTTTTTTTTTTTTTTTTTTTTTACACACGCTAGTTTCATTATATCAATATCAAAGTATCATTTTAATTCTATTACAGTTTTATTTATCAATATACACTATTGCATTGACTCTATTTTTTAGTTTCATTTTTTTACGCACGCACACTAATTTAATTATAGTAATGTTGAAGTATTATTTTAATTACACTTCATGTTCATTTGAGAATATATGTTATTGTATGACTCTGAATTTTAGTTTCATTTTTCACACATACTAAAGTTATTATAGCAGCACTAAAGTATCAGTTTAATTATATTACACTTTCATTTGACAATATACGTTATTGAATGAACTCTGTTTTTAGTTTCATTTTTCACACACACTAGTTTCATTGTAACAATATTAAAGTATTATTTTAATTCTATTACAGTTTCATTTTATGATCATAGTCCATATTGTCCTGCGTGGACCACTGGACCATGATCCCCTATATAACAACGGGTGTTTTTGGTTTCAAATCAGGGTAAATGAGACAAACTACTTGTGCATTATTAAATCTTAATTTGATAATATCCAAATTCGATTCAGTTACCATTGAGCTGAGCCCGAGTTCGAGTAACTAGCCAAGTTAAATTTGAGTATTTCTCTTAATACTCTGTTAGAGTAGCTCGAGACTAATCAAGTTTTATATATTTATAGTCCAAATATAAATAAAAAGGAAAAATGCATTTTTAGCCCATCAATTGTTTTTTTCTAGCGGTTTTAGTCCTTAATTTTTTATCGTTACAATATGTACCCCTAACTCTTCAAAAAGCTATAGTTTTAACACATTAAGCAACAAAACTATTAAATTTTTTTAAAATTATACTTAATACATGAGTATTTAAAATATTATTATCTTTATAATCTTTTTCCGTCTTTAGTATTTCATCTCTAAAACCTAAACCCATAGACTGCTTCCATCTGAAAATCAAACTTAGAATCATTTAGTTATCAAGCTAATTGTTGTCCCTATATTTATATATTTATGTTTATGTGTTATAAAATGAATATAATTGAAATATAATATTGAGTTTGTTATGATATTTGGATGTAAAATTATATTATTTGTGAAGCGATCGACATGCAGCGTAAGTTGGTGGACGTAGACTTAGAAATTAGAATGTTCAAAGTCGTGTATATATAATCATCCTTAAAAACAGCTGTCATTACTATGTAATTTCCATGTGGTTGCCAACAGCTTCAAGTTTTTGTCAAACTTTATGTCTATAATGGGATGGGTGCCTGCTTCTTCTTTACATTTGGTCCCAATTAAAGTCAGTTTGACCAGTCAAACTCATCTGCATCTACAAATATATATATGAATTGATTTGAATTGGCTCTTATCGTCAACAACTTGACCGTACCACTGTACAACATTACCCAATTTTTTATTACTTTTTTTTAATTATATAATAATAATAATAATTATTATTATTATTATTATTGTTATGAATAATGTTGAATATTTGGATGTGTGACCAGCAACTACTTCAATCGTTAGGCAATTAAAAAAGAAACATATTATCGTGTTCAAAGAATTGAAACGATCAATTTGAATGGCCTATTTTTAAAATCGTGCACCAGGGTGCACAATACATTGTGCATCCTATCAAAACGACGATGTTTTTATGTTAAGATTTTATGTGTATTATATACTCCGTATTATGTTATGAGTTTATATTATATGTGTTCTACTATACAATTCTGTACATTTGAAACATGAGATTACAATTCACTGGTTCTTTACAATTCTAAACATTTATACATTTGTATGTTAGCTTACCGTTAACTTCCATAGTTATAAAACCAACACCTTCATTTAAAACTTTTACCGTTGAAGCAACTTATTATTCTAATCACTCCAATTGCTAATTCATCTGAATCACTCTTAATCTGAATAGCATGTAAAGTGGTGAATTATCGTCCGAACTGTTTTTCTAAACACATCTTAACTAAGTTAATTAATTATATATATACGACGTTAAACAAGGACTCCGAGATAAAAATAATAATAATAAATTAAAAATAAACATAGTAAATCTTCAAATTAAAGTCTCTTTTATTTGAGATTTTATTAAAAGTGAGTGCAAAATAACCTAAAGGGGAAAGGACACTTGGGAGCTGAGGATCTCTGATCTTTCCCATAAACAAGTTGTAACAAAGTATAATATACAATTTTCCATTAAGAATATGTATACTCATTTGCTCAACTCATCACTACTAATTAATAACATTTGCACATGCATGCATTTTTTTATATATATTGCATGAAACAACTCCTATTTATGTATATTATAAATTTATAATATAATATATTACCCACTTTATTTTAAGTGGAAGGACTTATGATTACCTTATTTGCACAGTTGGGACAGAAACAGACTAGCGGTTTGATTGATCTCAGCCCTCTTCCTCTTCCTCTCCCTCTCCGCCTCTTCTTCAACCTCCAACCTCACGCCAAACAGCATCAATGGCGGCCGCATTTCTTCTTCTTCTTCTTCTCCTTCCTCCGAGCTGGCAGCGGCGTACATGGACACTAAGTCGAGCAGGTCCCGGCACTTCCTCTTCATCGTCGACAGCTCGGAGCTGAGGACGCCGTTCTCCTCCTTAAGCCGCTTGTTCTCGTCGACGAGGGTGATGTATTCCGAGGAGGACGAGGTGGACGATGAGCGCTGGTCTTCGTCGCCGGCGTCTTTGTTGTTGTTCTTGGGTGGATTATCCTGGGATTGTGCGTTATTGTTGTTTGGCTTGTTGGACCATGCTTTTCGCCGGCGAATGTCGCAGAGTAAATCCCTCTCCCCTTTCCGGAACATTTCGTTGCTAAACTCCCACCGGCTTGTCGCCACCTTGCGAAAACCCTATAGTTCATCATATGTTAGTTTGAGAAATATACATTACATTACATTACAAACAATAATAATGGTACGTCATATAAAATTGTCGGAATTTCTATAATGCTAATCAACATCTGTGTTGTTTTTAGTTGACGAGAGAAACCAGTAATCCCTACTTAAGAGTGTGTATTGTCCCGTCTTGTGATCTTAGCTAGTAAAAAACTGAAGAGAAACTACTAAATTAGTATAGATTGTCTATACATAGTTGACTAACTCAAATCAAGAAACTAAAGGGACGTACCAACTGACCAACTAACTGCGATTGTATGTAGTTACCAAGTCAACATCTATGTCTTTTTGTAACAATACAATTATGTATATACTAATCAGCAACCAATTATATCTGGTACAAAAAACTCTTATGTTCTTAGTTTAGACGGGTTAACTATATGTAACTTAAACTGATTTACTTTTTTTATACACTTCTACTTAATATACGCCTTCAAATAGTTACTATAAATTTCCATCGTGCTACAAAAACACTAAATCCTTTAACTTTTATAAATCTATGTGCAAAGGACATAAATTATACTCTAGAAGATACTTTCTAGTTTCTACCACCTATGTGCAGTGGTCCAAGGAAGGTAAAGTGGACCAATTAATGAATCGATTTTAGCATGCCGATAACGTTTAAAATAGAATGGAATATTAGATGATGATATGATGCATTATTAGTAGTTATTTTGACTTGTCGTTATGTAACATCGTAGAAATTTCTTAGGATATGATGTTTAATTAATAATTAGGAAGGTGATAATTAGTTTGAAGAAAGTAATGATGTATGAACCAAAATGGTTGAGCTGACACAAAGATCAAAGGATGTTGTCACTAGGTAGCTTTGGTATCTCTTTTGATCGCTAAATAACCACCACCCATATATTTATATAGATCGAGATAATAATAATTAATAAATCCCAAATTCAAAAGGCACTATTCCACCTAATCCCAAAAGAATATTTCTAGCTACTCTTTTATTTTTAATTTCTTTTTTTAGATTTTAATTCTCTGCTGCCCTGAGCTCATAGATATCAATTTTTTGTTCATAAAAGACAGAATCTTTTGTCCCCAACTCCAATATTTTGATTTATATAGGATAAATCAGGGTGACTCAGTTCAGAATAATAAGAAATAAAATAAAATTATTTATTAATTACGTACATAGGTATTTAGCTGGCGGACGAAGCTGGAAAAGTTGCTGTGCTTGAAGAGCGTGGGGAGCAAGTCTCTGGCGAACTCCGCCGGCTGCCAGACGACGAAGGCGGTGCCGTCGTCGTTCCAGGAAATGACGTCATCGGTCGCCGGATCCTCCACCAGCATGTAGGTCTTCAGCAGGAACGGCGGCGGCGACGATTTCCTCACGTACTCTAACAGGCTCTTCTGCTGCCGATCACATTCCGGCCCCAACATCTTCTACCTCTCCGATCAATCGATCTCTGATCTATACCTAATTTTTTTTCTTCTGCTAATAATAAATTTAGATTTATATATATGTATGTATGGAAATGAAGAAGCTAGAATAATGGATTAATATATCTAGAAGAGAAGGCGGAGGGAGATGGAGGGCGTGGCGGAGAAGAGAAGAAGGGCGGTTAAGAACTCCCAACCCCAACAGTAGAAACCCAATACGACTCCGCAGTTCATGAGAATTGCAAGAGCTTCGATGATTCTTTCTTCTTCTTCTTCTTCTTCTCTCTCTCTCTCTAAAACCAACCAATATATCCTAGAAACGTCTCTTTTGTGCTCTCACCCTCCTCTTATTTAATACATACATACACACACGTATATTGACTCTCGTAACACACAACCCAACTAATTCTTCCCCTGCGTGCAAACCGCTTATATATAATACATACACCACTATTGCTATATATTATATTTTTTTCTAATTTGTTTTAAATATTTTGTATTCTTTCTAAAAGGTTGAACTCCAACACCTGCCCAAATTACCTTAGGTTGAGTGCAAGCTGGTTTATCTTTTTATGATCCTTTATTAACTAGGTCTACAAGCAAGTTTTACTTAAAGTGCACGTTTAATTAAGTAGCAGTTATAGGTTTCCGTAAATCAAAGAAGGTTTTAACTTACAAATATTATTTCGGTCAAACTCATGATTTTATTAATTAGTATGATTGGTTTGCGAATGATTATACATGACCAGGCCAGTATTGTTCACCATTACACACTTCCCGATAGTAACGACAATTTTTTCAATTACCCAAAAAAAATGGGGAAATTGATAGATTTATTATGTTTTAACGTATGTATTTATTATTATATATATATATATATATATATATATATATATATATATATATTGTATAATAAAAATGTACAATTATGCTGTCTACATACATAGGATTACTACACGTAGTATATAATATATATATTTGTATGTCACGTAGAAATAGAGGTTTGCTTCTAAGCTTCAACTTTTCAAACTAGTCGTCCCACACTTGCGTAGAAAATTTATGTAAAGTTGTAACCACCAAAGTCTTCCTTGGAATAGTTATATTATATATTAACCTTTTGGACCGTAGAGTTATCTTTCAATCTCTTCCATCGATCATGTACTTAATTACTTACTTTTGCATCTAATTAATTTTATCATTCTTGATTTGTTGAAATAAAATTCACTCACTCTTTGTGTGTGTGGGGTGAAAATTCTTTTTATTTATAAAAATATAAGTATGGTATTTTTTTTAATTGTAAAATATTTTATATTTATAAAATCTAGTTTTATAAAATTTTAGGAGAACATCTTATTCAAAATCTTTAGTTGAGGTGGGGCCAAGCCAGTTTACTAGTTACTAGAAAAAGAAGAACAAGAATATTGAACATATGACTGAGGAATTGGGGTATCATATATTTTATTAAATTAAAGTATGTTGTTAATAAGCATGGAAGGAAACATGCAAAATAGTACTAAAATCCTGCACGTTCGTGTGGATTCTTGTAACCATAGTCACACTAGGGTTTTGTCTCGTTGCAGATTTTCTTTGAGGAAAAAAAAATATATTATTTCTATATTTCATGTAGGTGTACGTGCTGATCCTTTCAACACTTTTTTCCTATAAATTTTATGATTTTCACATTAGGTATTCATTGATACTGATATCAAATTATATAAAACATCATATTGTTCATATCAAGACGCTACTTACATAGTCGTCAGTGTCACATTTTTTATACTTACATAACAACCATTTCGATGTTAGGATGTTAGACTCAGTCTTTCAAGCCTCTGCCCCCCATCCTAACACTTACTAGCTTAGCCTCAACTGCATAATAATATGCTTTAAATGAGAATACAAATTGTCAGAATCAAGTGCATACTACTCCGTCAAAAGTTATAGCTAGTAGCGAAGACACAACTTCATCATATTATACTTACATAGCAATCAGATCGCACTTCAATAGCAAGATGTTGGCTCGATCTTCCAAACTTATGTTCAACAATTATGTATATATGTTTGGTCGTGTACAATTTCAACCACCAACAAGACATTTTACATGTATTGCGTATAATTCAACATCGTAAAAGTACTTTAATTTTTAATTTATTCCTTAGATCCATATATTTTTTTTAAAGTTGAATTTCTTTTTGCTTGTGTCTTCCGCCACCATCTAATTGGAAGGTGTCTTTGTGGACTTTTGTGTCTCATATTTTCCTATAGATATATAATATATATATATATAAAATGATAGAAGGCGTAGGGCAACCCAACCCATGAAGTTGAATTGGGACTATAGTGAAGAATTTTTGATAGATATTGAAAATTTCGTATTAATAAGTCAAAAAAATTTAGTTAATCATCTAGAAGCTAAGTGAAAAGTTGAAGAATAAGTAATTTCTTTGACATTTTCACTATAATTATATCTTCTTTTTACATAAAAGTTTAGGCTAGAGGATGTTGCAGTAATTAAGTATTTCTAGAAAGCTTACTTCACAGTGTCACATATTCTGAGATGACTGTAAGTCAAACACGCTTAACCACAGAGTTCTTTGACTATTTATGGTTGTCATATCATACTTAAAATTAATGTGTGATAAGTAGATGGACATTAACCATTTGACCGCATCATTCCATGGTAAATCACAGCGCTACGTCTCGAATCGAGCAGGGACTGAACTCGGCCAATAGCCCAATAATTTCATTTTAAACGAAATGAAAATTGAGCAATTATTATTGACTCAATCAACCTATTGGCCGGCTTATCATAATTATGAATGTTAATATTACTCCTACATTTTTTAGATTAAAAAAAAAAAATACGCAATCACTATCTGAGATTGTATACTACTACATACTGCATAAATTATTATCAATTATTTATTTTTGAAAAAATAATTGATAATAATATTATCAATTATATTACACTATATTGTATATTTATTTATTAATAAATTTGGTGGATGAGTGTAACATAATAGCTATTGTATCCAAAATATTAATAAATTAAAAATGTGATATCATATGGTAAAAGAAAAAGGAGTGGATAAGGAAACCCACATTATATCCGTGCATTTAATTAATTAAACCAAAAAATAAATAGATATTGACCGTACATGGCACTTGGACGTATTCGAAGGTTCTAATTTCTAATATTTGGTTGGGCAGCTGAGCTTTCTTGACCTCTCAACTTAGCCCTTTTAATTATATTTTTCTTTTCACTTTTACATTCTTTTTATGATTTAATAATAATAAATAATGTCTCAAAATAAGTGACGAATGGAACATGATTCTAATATCAATAGATCAATACTCTTAATCGAGTCGATTGACTATTATGTATGAAAAAAGTTTACTCAAATAATATATAAACAAAAGAGGTTCTCACAACACGTGTCACACTCCTTTAAATATTTTTCACTCTAAAAAGAGATTTCATTACTGAATTTTTTTTAGTATTTTTAAATTAGAATGCCTTAGTCATTTGCAAGGTATATTTTTCTAAGAATTAATTCTAATTTTTGTCTCTCAATTGTTATGTTTTTTTTTTCTTTTAATTCTCAAATTAAAATTTAGTCAAAATTTTGGTCATAGATTGTTAAAAGAATTAATTCTACTAGATGTCCTTAATTTTTTTATAAATTCAAATTTAATCTCAGTCTATCATTTTTGTCATTTAACATCCCAGACTATTACTTTTGGATACTTTTAGTCATTTTCATGACTTTTTCTATTTTTAGTAAAGACATTTTTGTCTTTTCATATTTTTCTTTTGTTATTTTCCAGTTTCAATCGGTTTAATTGGTTTAGGACTTTAGGTAACCTCTTATTTTTAGTAATCATATTTTTTCAATCGATTTTTAGTAAAGTCCTAAACCAATTAAACATGTTGAAACCAGAAAAATAACAAAAGACAAATATGAAGAGACAAAAATGTCCTTACTAAAAATAAGAAAAGTTATGAGAATGACTAAAAGCGTCCAAAAATAATGGTCTGGAATGTTAAATGGCAAAAACTATAGTATGTGACTAAATTTGAAATTGATTGTCACCAAAGACAAAGGACTTCTGGTGGAATTAACTCTTGTTAAAAATATTCCATTATCAATCCTTATTATGAAGGGTAAATAAGTCAAGAGTTAAATCTATTCAATTTTAAACTCAAAAATTAATTTTTTTTTATAATTATAATAGTATCAAAATGTGTTGTCTCAAACAGAAGAGGTCAGGTTTGAGTCGTTTAAACATTTGATCGAGAATTTAAATACTTTCTGTATGCAATAACTTCTTAGAAGAGTTGCTATGAAAGAGACTATATTGAAACTTCTCTTAATTAATCTTATTTTGTGCAATGTGAATAATAATATAGTATGTAGAGGTATTATAGAGCGAATTTCCCATATGTATTCACATCTAGTATGAGATCCGATCCAATTCAATCTGTTTTGCTTATGGTGAATTTTAAGTTTAAAATAATAAATAAATTATAATATAAGAATTTTAGTATTCAAAAATCAAAATAACAATAATATTTTAAACATACCACCCCAAAAAAAAAAAAAAACACCCAGACACAAAAATAAAAATCCAATTATCTAATTAGAAAAAATACAATACTAAATTCGGATCCAATCTGTTAATGACGGATTTCTTCTAAGTGATCCACATCTTATTTGTTTAGTTTTGACCGATACGAATTAGATTGAAATAATTTTAGTGTGTTTAATCAATCAACAATTAACAATTATATATATAAATATATATAGTTATGCCTTACCTTCTCCCTCACCAACAACCGCAGGCCCCCTTTTCTAACTTTGAAGCCTCCCTTTCAGAAGGTGGGAAAGCAGATCACGACGCTCTGCCTAATACATATCCAGACACATAAAATTCCAGATGGAAGAATTTAATCTTCTTTATAAAATAAAATTATTAAAAAAAAAAAAAAAAAACTATTGGTCCACAGTGGCCGCAAACACAATATTGTTAATTATATTATTTATTTAATAATAAAAAAATAATAATATATCATTATTTTTTAGTAGCATGAGAAACCTGCCGTTACTATTCAGATGTCTGCACTGAATAAATCTCACCTTCGTATAATAGTTCACAAATCATACGATAAACTATATTAAGAAATTATATGTGACGGGTTTGACCGAAAATTATTATTATTATTGGGTGACGAGAAAAACTCTCAATCACTACTCAAAAAGATGTGCACGGTGTAAATTCCGCCTTATGGCCCTAACCCGCAACGAATATAAGGAAGTAAGCCAGCCTAAATTACTAATAACTAATCAACGAGAAGATCAATAAATCGTTCCTACTTAAAATTGAACTTGTTACATTGTGGTTATCAATCAAGATTATTATTATTATTATTATTATTTTAGTTCATATGGTTGAATAGATGATGAAAAGTGTAGACTAGTGGATGGAGAAGAGCTAATTAACCAGTGGTATATGCACACATTTTCAATGAGTTTGAGATCCGCACGCATTTTATGAACGGTGTGCATCTCTTTTTTTCTTTTTGTTCACATTACTATTCCTATTTTTTCTCGATAATCTTGGCAACGAGCTCTAGTCAAGATGATATAGGAAAGGATCAAGATGATATGATTTTTTAAATAGAAAATTGTACTTTTCATCCCCAAGTTATAAGATAATTGTAGAATTCGTTATTAAGTGTTGATCCCGTTATTAGTATATCTTCTGATTTCATTATTAGTAGATCTTCTGGTCTTGTTATTAGTAGACCTCCTAGTCTCGTTATAAATAGACCTTCCGGTCTCGTTATCATTAAACCTTCAAGTCTCATTATTAATAGACCTCGCCGATCCCGGTCTCCAAGCGTCGACCCTTCACGTGGTCAAATCTCTAAAGACACTTAGCAAGCATAACCTCACCATTGGATCTCTCTAGGACACGTGGAGGATAGGGCGGACGACATGCATGTCTCCCCTCTCCTCTCTATATAAAGGACATTTATTGCGCTTTGAAGGGGACTTTTTCCTCTGAATAGACACCACTCGAACCGGAGCTTCCTAATTTTATATGGTCAGATCCATAGCTAATTTCTCAAGCACATTTTTAGCCTTCAATTAGCTTCCCAATCACCTTCAATCTGACCCAAAATAATATACTTTATCATATATACCAAGTGTATTTTTATGTTGCGCTAAGTGTTGGTATGTTGTGTACCTATGAGTGCTCTGTGGTACACTTATGATTGATCTGTGATGCACTTAGTATTGCACCACTCAATGCGTCTATTGAACCCACCACGTCTTTTTTCCCCCCTTTTAGTGGTGCACACAATTCACTCATTAGTAACCAACATGGTTGGCGTGGTGGTTCAGCACCTCGTCCCTTAAGCATGAGGTTGAGAGTTCGATCTCCACCCATGTGAATGGAGCAAACCATTTGGCCAGTCCCTTACCACTTAGTGTGCTGACACTGGCTTGAAATATACATGGTGCACAAAATTCATTTGGATTGATTTTCAGCTACTTGATAAAAATCACACAATGCATCACAGAGCACTCATAAGCGCATCACTCACCAACACTTAGTGCACCACCGAAATATACATTGTCAACAAAATTATAAAATTTTCCCCGCACATTTTTTCTTATCTACATTAATTTTCATCCGTTTAATCTAAGCTCATCCTACAATTCTTATAAGTCCGCAAGACCGCACAAGAGAGCAGCGTCACATATAAACCTATATATGTATATAATTCAACTTTATCCCTTGTTAATTTGAGATAACATTTGAAATAAAATAGAGAAAGAAGTTCTGACTTCAGAGTTATAGTTTACTGTGTCTGCCTTGCTCCGTACTGGCCCTCCAGATTATAATACTGTGGGCCGATAAGCAATAAAAGAAAAGATCTGTTACTAGACAGCCCAATTATTATGGGCTTCTAATGATAATTAATTTGAATCACCAAAAACTAATGTTGGGCTCTGTTAGCACAATAATCCTGGGCCCATATAAATTCGGGCCAATTGTATATGGTTTTGGATATTAATGCCATTTTGCCAATACTTATGATACTAGACCTATTATCGTTTTAATTATAATAGGAATTATTATTTGGTTTTCAAAATGGAATTTGCAATGGGAAATAAATTTGTGTGATGATTGGATGGCTTCGTTTACTGCTTTGCTCAAGATCTGAAATTTGATTTTCATGAGATTTTAAAATATATATATACATACATAATTTGATTAGCTGATCAATTAATTTTTTTTTTTGAAAATAGCTGATCAATTAATTTAGTTAACTGACACTTTCAAATCGAATTAACAATCAAACAAAATTCTTAAAAATCATTAACCATTAAAAAATCAAAAGATTTTGATTTAAAAATAATTACTTGAAATTTAAGAATTCGATCGATTAACTAATGTTTCATCAAATACCCTAATCATAAGGGATCACTGAAAGTAACATTAATATTAAAATTAATTATTAGTCAAATTTTGACTTACTAGATCTCTACCCAATTATTGTAGTTATATAAATCATAGCTATCATTTTGGTGCAACCCAAGCCACAAATACCAGTTTAAATAAAACAAAACCAAGATACTTGGCTCTCTGTTTTTGTTTTTGCGATTGATTGATGATATGGATAGAGATAGAATTATATTTTATTCATTTAAATATTTTATTATTATATATAAGTTGGACTTGATAACCATTGTATATTAACTATATTTGTATGTATAAATAATAAAATTTTCTTAATCTTATTTCTACATGACTATGACTCTTTCGAATTGATTCTTTTTGTTTCAATATGTTAAGAAAGTACGTATGGAAAGATACTAAATTGTAACATAGTCGATAGTACTCCAAAAACTCTCGTTGATATAATTCTATAATTCTTTTTTATATTTGTTTGTTGCTTTAATTTTGAATTGACCGACTGTACTTTAAAAAATGAACTAAAGTATATAAACATGTTTATATAATTAGTTAGTGTATACTTTCAAAAAAAAAAAAAAAAAAGTTAGTGTATAAAATCTTATATGTAAGACTTTATTCAGTTTAATGTTGTCATAGTTATTAATAATATTATCACATTGCATTGCTTTTGTGGTTGTAATTTTACCTTGAAGGCTAAACTACATGAGTTGTTACCCTCATGGCCTCATATCAATTTTTTTTTTCTTCTAAATAATAGAATATAATATTATAAAATTTATTTATTTCCTTCTAATTAGGTTCCAACCCCGACCCCCACAAACACCTGGCCTTCACCTCTTTCTACTGAAACATTTATTAATATTTTACTAAAATATTACCTACATATAATATAATATATATGATCGAATGCGGTTATAATCTCTCTCCTCTGGGTTATTATAAAATATATGCTATTGATGAAGATATGTGAGCGTATCTGTGTTAGTGTACCCCATTATTGTACTTAGAGCAAGCTCATTCGTTTGATTTTTTTCTCAAATTTTTGTCAATCCATTTAAGCAAGAGGGATAAGAGAGGAGGAAAAAAATCTGACCCAAAAAAAAAAAAAAAAAAAAAAAAAAAAAAACTACACTTACGCCGTTACGCACCCAGCAGGTGCGTGCAATATATACACATGCATGTTGTGCGCAGTATGAGTTATAGACGTGCATGAAAAGTAGTGCACTTTTTCTATTTCTCTAGGTATGGATCTTACAAAAAAATTTTACTCGCAGAAATAAAACCAATATATATATATATATATATATATATATATATATATATATAACCTTCCCATAATCCCATTAGTTAAAAACCTCCCTAAAAGCTACGTACTAATTGTCTTGCTCTTAGCCTCTTGACCTTGGAGATTGGGAAGTGGATCTTACTTGGATAGACAAGCAATACATGAAGCGTCCTCTAAGTCGTCACTCGTCACACATATCAGAGTCATTTCAGCGCCAACACGTGACACAACCGAGTAAGGAAGATGTATGTCGATTTGTAAGTGAGGAAGCATTCACCTTAAATATGTTTTCTTCCACCTATAATATGGAAATATGGTTAAATCGTGTCATGCTTATTTATTATTTTGTGCTTTACATTTTCACACCTCTCTCTCTCTCTCTTCCATTGACCGTGCATGGAGATATGCAAATGCCCATTGAAGATATACTACACATCATACTCCATTCATGTTGCAATATATATAACCAGCCTAAAAGTGCAGCATTAGCATGTGCAGATAATTCTCAGTTTGACTACATTGCTAATTATGATCACTTCAGCATAGTAAACTAAAAGATATATATTGTAAAGAGTGTTATTAGATACGGGAAACAATTATAAATTCAATGTAACACTTCAAAAAAAAATTGTTCAATATGTGAAAAAAATAAGTCCTTACGAAGTAATTCTCAACCAATTAAATTGGTTAGATCGGTGACCACATAATTTTAAGTTTGATTACCTATTAAAGTTGTTTATTGGTCTTCTTAGATTGAGCTGATTAACTATGAGCAATCTAGGTTGATTTACATCCTTTTAATTAGTCTTTTGCCAGTTATAATTACAATGCGGGCTACACCTAGAACGCACGCTTGAGTAGTGACATATTGCAAGCTTTAGGTGGTCCGAAAAATAGATCCTCTCAAACTTAAGTGACACCTACACCACAATTTTGTGTAGAATCAATATGTAATCATATCACAATGAAATTTTCTCATATTCCCTTCTTAGCCATACATAGCATGCATCTTCAAATCAGCTAATGTACGTCTCCATTAGCAAGGGCATAAGAATCATATCTTCTTTAGTTATATTTGATCCTAAAAATCACCATCGATCCATGTGCATACACTATGGATTATGGTTAGTTGCAATCCACCTAATTCCCACTTTTTGTCACCAATTTGGGCAAAAGATAACTAAACAGATCTCCTTCGTATCAGAATCCAACATCAGAGTTACTATTCTTGCCTAAACTTATGCTCACAACCTAAGCTCTTCCTCGTACTAATGTTATATACAAAACTTGTTTTTTTTTTTTTTTTTAAATACACAGATTTTCCGTTAGATTAATCTTAGCCTCTAATTCATCACCCCAAGAATAACTAGATGATATAAATCTTAATCGCATGAGCAGTCTTTTAGTCAACAATCATTATTGTGTGGAGGTTCAAAAGCACATAAAGTACATTATTCTAACTCATAAATAACAACAAATCATATTTTATTGAAGGTACTAAATATCGTAAATTAAATAATAATAATAATAATAATAATAATAATAATAATAATAATAATAATAATAATAATAATAATAATAATAATAAACAAAACACTAACTTGTAATTAAAAATTATATAGTCAAGACATTGATACTCTATAACCTTATTAGGGTCTTCCTTTTGAGTTTTGAGTTTTGACCATTAAACATAAAACGCCTATGAGGCTATGAAGACTATGCTACAACATGATTAAATTGTTACTATCCAAGAATTAATAACCTTTCGAAAAAGCTACATAATGATTAATGATGCATTTGCTTCAACGCAATGTATACTAATCAAACACATTTAATTTAGTCATTTTTCTTGTTTTCTTAACCCTACTGGAAATTATGCAATTTTTGACCACCTGAAAGTGATCTTAAATCAAGTCAAAAGCCTTGTTCCGATCACTTTTGGTATCCGGAAAAATTTTTGTTGCTTTTTCCAACCACTTTTTGGTATCAACTTGATTTAAAATTACTTTCAGGTGGTCAAAAATTCCATAATTTCCAGTAGTGTAAATGTGTTTGATTATATGACTAATATAGTATATTATTATTATATTAGTCATTTAATCTCTCCTCGACTATAATTTAATAATAATAATAATAATAAAGGGCAATTCAATCATTTTCTTATTTTTTTTTCTTTCCAAGGTGTGTTGAAATATATAGAATTCTTCGGGGATACATGAATTCTAATTCCACAAAATGAATGAATTGCAATTCCATATAACCAAACAAAACACAGTAATAATTTATCATGCCAAAGAATTATGTTGGAAACGAAATGCAATTACACACTACCACATAGCTTGTAAGTGTTTCCAAATACACCAACATAATTACATAAATATCATTGTGTTTTTCCTTAATTTTCAGTTCTTAATCATCTTAGATGGACACATGAGATTAGTAATATACGTTCTCATGGAACTACTAATTATCATAGTTCTTAATCATCTTAGATGGACATATGAAATTAATATATTCGTTCTCATACAACTACTAATTATCATCATATGATCTTGATTATATATATATATATATATATAATTCAAATAAAATTCACCTGAAATGGGTTATACTTCTCATATACATTTAAGTAATGAGCATTGGAGCATTGAATTACAAAATAGGATCCATAGGTCCAATCATATAATGTTACATTTTCTTGACTTGGAATTAAAATGATGTTGGCCTCCCCACATAATCATGATTAATAAACGCGTTTACTTCACTAATACTAAACTTAGGATACAAGGATTAACTTCGTGAAAACCCATATTTTCGTCACCAAACAAGGATTAGACTTGAATGTTTCCTAATGATACAATCACTTTTTAGAATTCCTAATTTTGTTTTTGATAATGTGAAAAATATCAATTTTTTATTATCTAATATAAATTTTGTGATAGATTCAAAATTAATTAGTAAATATTAACCCACATTATTATCTAATAAAGATTTTGCAAAGTACTTGTAAAGAATTAGGATGAGCACCAATAACAAGAAAGGAGAATAGTATGCATAAAATCCATGCAACAAAACTATATATATAAAATAAAAATTACAGAAAATATAAAATATCTTTCTTTATCATACACAAACAGAAAATCACTACCAATAATCATCTTCGTCATCAACATACGAGGACTGATTAAACAAGGTTTAAGAAAATATTTTTTTTTCCTTTTTTTTTTTGGTATTATTGATCATCATATCCTGAGTAAAAATATACTGAGTTCCGGCCCGCCGTTGCCGTCCGGGTTCATCATGTAAAACGCTTCCGAGTCACGGCTCCCCACAACTCGTTCAAACCGGGCCCTCATATACAGCAATTCCCCTTCCGACGCGCCGCCGTTTTTCTCGGCGTCCTCCACCACGGGAATCACTCCGGCCCCGACGGACACGCTCTGCACGGTGCTCAGCACGTGCCAATCCGAGGGCGAGCACGACCGCGACTGCGCGTACCCGCACTTCCGGCCGTTGCAGTACATGGTCCACACCGGCTCTTGGAAGAGCTTCACGTGCCGGCCTCCGCCGCCGCCGCGGGAAGACGGCGGCGGAGCGGTTTTCTCGCACTCAAGCGCGATCCTGACTAGCCCGGACGACATCTCCTTCACCAAGGCCGACGTGGAAACGGCCAGCTCGATCAGAACCGCCGGTTCGGACCGGGGATCGTCCTGGACCGCGAAGCTGACGTGGCCTCTCCGGTGCCCGAACAGCGTCCCGGTAACCTTCCGGCCGAGCGCCGGCGCCGTTAAGGACAACTGCGTCGGTATGTGAAGCCATCTACACGTCGGGAGGATCGTCGGAAACGATATAATACTCAGAAGCGACCGGAGAAGCGCGGAGACGCCGCTCCTGGTCTTGCCGAGCCGCTGAAACTCCACCGGCGGGCTCCCGGCGCCGCCTTTCCGGATCAACGATCTGTCGAAGAACTCCTCCGAGGTATCATGATACACAGACGTGGATCGCTGGTAATGATTAGCGGGAATTATCTTCTTGGAGCTCTTGCAGCTGCTGGCTCTGGGCAAGGCGGCGACAGTAGTGGCATGGAGGTGTTCGTGTTTCATATCTATCTTCAAGATGATACTGTGAAAGAGAGAGAGATGTATGTATCTGTGTATGTAATGGCGAGAAACAAAGGAAAAGAGGTAATATGTGGGTGGGTGGGTGGGAGGGAAAGGGCAGACAATGTAATGATAGTGTTCGAAGGTGGCTAATGAAAAGGGGAACTATGGATGCTTATGGTGCAGATGCTTATCATTTCATGCCTTCATGCTCTCTCATTTATATACACACGCAAAAATTTTGTTTTCACAACATATATATTTTCACAAATCTCGCAATCTTTACCCGAATGTACCCTGGGTATGTTTGTTTTGCACATGGGAATCGGAATTTTAATGGGTATCAAATACTTGATAATGGTAATGAGTTTTGGTGAAAGTATTTTACACCTTTGGTAGTAAGATGAATGGAAATGATTAGGCTAAGGATGAATGATGAGAAAAAACCAGGGAATGAGTTTTTTCATGGGGTATTCCAAACTCAGTAGTGTTTTAAAAATCAGTCAACCAAACGGCGATGGTGGTGGTGGTGGTGGTGGTGGCGGTGGCGATGGCGGCGGTGATGGTGGTGGTGGCGACGATGGTGGTGAGATAGGATAAATTTATATATAGAATAAAAAAATTAGGTTAAAGAAAGGGGTAAAAAAGAAAATAGATTCTAAAATCTATTCCTGAGCGTTCCCTAGTAATAGCTATTACCTTATTTGAGGTAATAGGCTATTACCAAGGTAATAGGCTATTACCAGGAATATTATTCCTAACCAAACAAAGGAATATGTCTATTACTGGGAATGTTATGTCATTCCCGGCCTATTCCGTGAACCAAACGGGTCATTAGAGTGATCGAGGTTCGATTCAGATTAATATATACCAATGACACAGTTTGAAATTGAATTCCTTATGAGTACTAGTATAATAATAAGTTCTGACTTACCGAGTTTTATCTCGCGATTTACCTTATTCACAAGGCCCCAAAGATAAGAAGATCATTAGGGTTGGAGCTAACTTTTTTAGAAAGTAGTTTGATTATTTCATTAATATTTGAAAAATTGATACTTTTCGCCATTAAACTAAAAGAAATGACACTTTATGTTACTCACTTGTCTGGAAAGATGAAAAAAGTTACTTTGCATATAATTAATTGAAGAAAACCAGGACTATGTGGTCCAATGGTACCCGGGTTGGACTTCCATTAGGAAGGTTGTGAGTTTAAGCCTCAGTGGAGGCGTTAAAAAAATTGAAGAAAAGAGAGGACAAGTATAATTTAAGAGCGAAAAAAGTGTTATTTTCCTATATATAATTTAAAAATAAAAGTGTCATTTTTTCAACAGAAACCTTGTAAATAATTAACAAATACAACAATAAATCATTCCAAATAACATCTTGAATCTAAATTTGCTAAAAAATAAAAACTACTTGTACTTATATATTTACTACATCACATAATTTGCATTCATCAACTAAATAAACACAAAGTGAAAAAAAAATATTAACCGATCATATTATAAAATCAATAATCAATCAACATAAAATTATAGACACCAAGAGTAAATTAAAAATTACAATTTTCAATAGCATAGAAAATAGTAGGTAAATAGAGGGGAATTATAAGGTGGTCCTGCGGCGTATGATCAGAAATACACGTGCAACATCGGCGATGATTGTGATCTCAAAAGCGGGTTGCCTTTGGTAGCGTGAAACCGACGGAAGACCCTACGTGGAGATGGACGGACAGGATTGGTGGAAGAAGGTGCATTATTGTGGCAGAGCACGGGTGTTTCCGTGGACTCTCATTGTGTGCGGCTATGATTGCATCTTGACCAGTGTATGGGTGATTGCTGATTGGGTTTTCACAATGGATCGTTGACTGTTTAGCAGTAGTTCATACACACATGCCCCACACTCGCGCCAAACGAGTGGACATCACTTTTGAAATTTTTTTTTTTTTGTGAGATATTCGTAAAATCGTATGAGTGGTGTGATGATTTTGCTTGCAAGGTTCACTAGCAAAAAGAGACATCAAAAAACTCATAAGGTGTGGATGCGATGACTCGATGTGCTTTGTCATTTCTAAGGTCCTATCAATACGAATTAATTTTAGTGTGTGAGATTTTAGTGTATCATAATTGAAGAAACTTGTAATTAAACAAAAATAAAACATCAAAAAAATGATAATAATTTTACTTTGCAAAGTGTAAATCACTAATTTATGCACTTTGAGATGCAATTTTTGAGAAATGTGTAGTACTATTCTTTTACTTAATTTTTTGTGACAAAGAAAACCTACAATTGCACCAATCAGGCGGATATAGTTGAGGAGGAAGCTATGTGGGAGGGTGAATGAAGGAGCCAGGTGGCTCACGAGGGTCAAACGAGCAACCATAAAGAGGGGAAGTCCTGCAAAATGCCGGACAATGGAGCGAATCAAATGATAGAGTGCGAGAGTAAGTTAGATGATCGAGTGGATAAGTCAGGGGATAATCGAGTGGAGGAGTCAGTTGGATGGTCAAGTGGAGGAGTCAGGTGGATGGTCGAATGGGGAATCGGGCGGATAATCAAGTAGAGGAGTCAGACGGATGATTGAATGAGGGACTCAGGCGGATGGTTGAGTGGATGAGTCAGACGGATGATCGTATGGGGGAGTCAGGCAGATGGTTTAGTGGATGAGTCAGACGGAGGAGTCAAGCAAATATGGTCAAATGGAGGAGTCAGGCAGATGGTCGAGCGGAGGAATCAAGCGAATATGGTCAAATGGAGGAGTCAGGCAAATGGTCGAGCAGAGGAGTCAAGCGAATATGGTCAAATGGATGAGTCAGGCGAATGGTCGAGGGGAAGAGTCAGACGGATGGAGGAGGTGGAGCGCGGGTCTGTCATCCATAAAGGAACCACTAGTATGGAAAGCGATCACAGAGTCAACAACGTCTCCACTGATGCTCGATTTCATGACCTCCCACATCACTACATGCCATTTGAGCACAGGGTGCTTGGCGGTTAAGCTCACCAAATACACTCAAAGACAATAAAACACTTTCCTAACAATATTTCGAACAATTTTTTGATAGTATTAACCCGTCAACTAACTATTATGTACTCATAAAATCTACCGCACTATTTAGATATCCTCAATCCTCGACCATGGAGGTGGCGCGTGGGAAAGCAATCCTTACTGTTGGGAAGTAAGACAGCGATAGTGACATACTGGTGACGAGCATGCGGATTAAGGTCAAATGTAAAATAATGTGCCATTTTGTCTTTATCCATTTGGAGGAATGGGTATATGAACTAATCAAGCTCATTAATAAATAAATAAGGCAATTAATTAATTAATACCAAGTAATAAATATGGTTATCGTATGATTCGTATCACAGCTTTGCTTTGGTTGTTTTTGTGGTACACATAATTAACGTAATTAATTAGGGACGGTTCCAAACACGAGGGCCCACGCCCACTGTGTTGTAGGGGTTGTGGCAATCAGATTGGTGGCCTAACCATTTTAGACGGCCAGGATCGAGTTGACACTTGACCCTTTCACCACCTCTGACGGACACGATCTTTTTTTCTCACCGGAAAATGTTGATTATATTTGCGGCGAGTATTATTTTATACGGAGTATAATCCAACTTTCGTGACTTTGTCAAATTATATATTAGAGCCCATGAATTCGTTCCTAGACCTACCATCGTTATTTCATAGACCGTAATTCACATAGCTGTGTGGATTATAAATAAAAAAATATATTTTTAGTATACTAAAAGTACATTATTTGTATATTTAAAATACATTATTTGAAAGTTATATTATTTTGTATACTATCAAATAATATACATTTATTCATGTTTCACATTATTGTGTGAACCATGATCCATATAAGGTAGCTCTAAACCATAATTGTCACAATGTATATTAGATTAATAATAATATAATTCTGATACAATAATTATGTTCTACCAACTTGACCACTCCTACCTATCTCAGGTGAGGTTCAAACTTATCACCTCTCACATAGAGGAGCAATCGAATACCAGTGGACCACACAGTCCTTAATAATACGACTCGTTTTTACTTGCACTTGTCATCACTATCTTCCTTCTTCACAATTGAATTTGATTACATTATTTATTTACTTTGTTTAAGGGTGTTAAATACATACCAGTATACCACAGTCGCAAATGTCATACATCATGTTTAACAATCATGGAGATCAATATAATAATTACTAGTTTAATATGGACGGGAGGGCAATAAATTAAAGATTTCATCACTATATCTTACAAGCAAACAAAATACAAAAGATGAAAATTTTGATCTTCTTTAATATTTTATTTATTTATTTTGTGATAGTAATGAAGTTGAGTTTTAATTAAATTGGTTTCCACATATTGGATATTGTATTGAATTGTATGACACATAAGAGCATTTTCATCAAAGGTTTTTGCTCAGTTTTTATAGAATTTATATCTGAAGTGGAAGAGAGAAAATGATGGAGGCTTACTTTTGTCTCCATAGTGGGATCCACCAAAAAAAAAAAAAAAAAAAAAATTGATCGCATGAAAGTCAAAACAAGCGTCCAAGCGAGCGCATTAATCTGGCAATTTTTTTTTCAAATTTTGTTTTGCTTTTTTATTTTTCCCTTTTCCCTCCCCTTCATTTTTTTTTCTAGTCACACTTGTAAAAACTTCTCAAAATATATAACTATTGAGGATGTTTTAATTCTTCAAGAAACAAAACAAGGCTACAAAATTCCGAGTGAAGTTGTCTTTTCGAGAAGAAAGGGGGCTACTAGTGTTTGCCTGACCTTTTTTTTTTTTTTTTTTTTTTTTTTAAATGTTGAGAAGATTTTTGACACAAATTAAACCAAGAATGTTAGCAGACGACATGATCATTTTAGATATACTTTATGCACTAATTTAATTATTTATGATACAAAAATTATATTATATACAAATTGAAATGAAATTGTACTTTGATTTGTTTATGAAGCTCCATGTGGTTGGAATTATTACATAATATAATGGTATGCATATTGGGGCTAACTAAATCATGATCGATGGAGTTGACAAATTAAAGAAAGGAAATAAAACTTTTAAATCTTTTTATATATAATTAAAATCAATAATATCTTATAATAAAGAAAGATTAGCTTGTCTCTATGCAAATCATATTATGGACCAAAATTCATTATACATATTGTGGATCCTAATTCAAATTATACACATGCAATTGACATAG